CTCTCATTCTCTCTCTCTCAAATAAATAGGTAAAATCTTTAAAAAAAAAAAAAACAACAAAAAACCTTCCTTTGGCAAGGTAAATAAGACGCAATAAAGCCCTTTCATTGAGTCCATTCAAGATGTGAGAAAACTCTCCCAATAAGTTTTAAACAGAGTGCCTAAATATTAAAAGAAATCTTATTTATCTAAGTCTTACCTGATTAAATTCTGGCAGACCTGGCATCCTGCAGTACATCTAAATTAAAAAGACAAAACCTCTGTTAGGTTAGTGATATATTTGAAAGCATATTTAATGCTTATACCATAAACATCCGTTATTTTCCCTGGTCTAAAAAATCAGGGTTTGCTGAGGACTCATATATCATTCCCCAAACATTCCCATATGTCATTTCCCAAATATAATTACACTGCAGCAACCATGACCTAATTGACAGAATGCTGCATTTGGAACCTAAATACCTGGATTGAAATCTCACGGACTTAACAATTTCTCCCCAAGCACTGGTTTTCACATTTGAAAGCAGTATCTGTCCTCTAAGGTTATTAAGAGGATTACCTGAGATAATGTGTGTAATGTGTCTTACAGTGGTGTAGGGCAGTATATAAAATAATGGTGGCTGTTAACTGCCATTACACTATGAAGATAACAGAATTCTCGAGAATTCTGAGAATTAAGAAAAAATATATATTTATGTTTATAAATATAGAATATATAGACATAATTATATAAATATTTATATATAACGGTACATTATATATTAAGTATGTATTATATATATTAATTATAATACTATATATTATTTTAAAACCATAAAACACTATCAAATCCAAAGACAGTTGGTATGATTATAAGTATTACCCTTATTAACCTTTTTAGGATTCAAAAGAAACTTCTGAAGTTGGGGGATCATTGTGATCATCACAGATCATATTTTAGTCATAAAGGAGTTTTAACTAGAAGAGAATACTAGTTAAAACAATGGAAGAAAGGACAGTATTCAAAGAATCAGGGTCATTCTAAATTATTCAGAAACAAATACTTAGGCCTTTCACTTCTTCCTGTCCTAGCCTTTTGGGACTCTCCTTTCTCAGGAGCTTCACTTCAACAACAAATTCAAAATAAGGAGGAAAAAAGATATTGTAATCAAGTCTATCAGATTTCTTTCTTATTAGGAACTATAAAAATAACTGCTAAAAGATCAACTTTTATCTAATTTTAAAACCACGAACTACCACCTTTTTCTTCTGCACCATCAGGAAGAAAACTTCACAAAAGCTATAATTTTGAGATTGTTGCTGGGATCTAAGAAAAAGGCTGGCATAGGAAGATCCATAATCATCCATTAATTTTTTTTTCACAATCACATAAAAATAGAGAGGACTTTTTTTCCATAAAATGCAGATCTTGGACCATTCCATAATATGGAATTATGATCACTGATATTCTTCTTGAGTCTATGGGCTAATGGCCTACAGGTTATCACATTTCACTAGGTTTCAAAATGATTATGAAGATGATTCTCCATTTACAGAAGCAGGACTGTGTGAGTTCAGTCTGCCTTCCATTGTAACCACCATCACATCACAAGATATCATAAAAGATGAAGGGAAAAAACAAGTTTACCTTGCCATTCTATAAAATTTTATAAGGGGGTAAAATGAGAACTTCCAATCACAGGGCTTACAAACCCCAGGTAATTCAGTGAGGGTGGGGCTAGTAAATATTTAACAAAGGCAAGGAACACTGTTTTAGTCATCCCCAAAGATCAAGAATTTCAATGACCTCACCATGCTACTCTTCATAAGCATACAACTGTGATTTCTGAACTTTCAATGAATATAAGGTCAAATGCTAAAAAGAAACTAAAAATAGAGTGGTCCCTCTAATTAAAATACTGCTCTTCTATTTTTCCCTTCCCCTCTACTCTCCAAGGGCAATGCCACCCAATCTTAATTTCATGAACCCAATTACCCTGGGGAATTTTCCATAGCCCTTTATTCTCCTATCTTTCACAGGCTGCTGATTTGAACTTTGTTCTACAAGTAGAGCTTCCAAAGGGTTCTCAACAACTCAGAGCAGTCAAACTCAAGTCATTCCATCTGCTGTCTGTTATCGGCTCAAGCAAAAAGCCTCTGGGGAAAACATGGAATTATCCACATAATCTGAACACAGGGTCCTGAAATATCCCAAACTGTCACTATTGTCACTATTTTCCATAAACGCTTGAGTTGGGGATAAGGAACGTTCACAATATTTTGAATATTCAGTATTCAAAAGTTCTGGGGAATGGAATGGTGGAATGGATACAGCACTAGATATTTCCCCAATTTCTTTTCTTTTTAATTTTTTTTTTTTAAATTTTAATTCCAGTACAGTTAACATGCAGTGTCCTATTAGTTGTAGGTGTACAATAAAGGGATTCAACAGTTCTGTACAATACTCAGTGCTCATCATGGTAAGAGCACTCTTAATCCCCTTCACCTATTTAACCCAGCCCCCCACCCACCTCCCCTCTGATAACCACCAGTTTGTTCTCTATAGTTAAGATTCTGTTTCTTTCATGGAACACTACATCAAAAACTAATAGTGTAATGTATGGTGATTAACATAACAATAAAAAATATTTTTAAAAAAATATTCTGTTTCTTGGTTTCTTTTTCCCCCCCTTTGCTCATTTGCTTTATTTCTTAAATTCCACATATAAGTGAAATCATATGGTATTTGTCTTTCTCGGACTGACTTATTTCACTTAGCATAATACTCTCTAATTTCTATTCTCCCACTAAGAGAAACATGAGCATTAGAGAAATGAAATCCACAGCAATAGTAACAGTTATGTCATTATAAATTTTTTCTTCTTTACACTTCATTAAGTCATTAAACAGATGTTAATCAGGAGCCTTCTATGCAGCAGGCACTGTCAGAGGCTTGAGTAAGGTACGAAACTGACAAGGTCCCTGATCTTACCCAGTTGTCTACAATAATCCTGTATTATTTTTATAAAGACAAAGAAACAAATATTGATTAAAAATAAATAAATGCTAACTTCACAGATATGATTAAATCCTCTAGAAAAATCACACCTCTAAGTTTCCACAAACAGTCCTCAAAGTAGTGTTGCTTTAAAATGAAAAATATTAAAAATTGTACCTGTGAGGGTCTTTTGAGCTAGGTATGATTTTGTTACATTCTCTCTTGTTGAACACTCCTTCAATCCAGGATTTCTGGGACTAAAGAAAAAGTGTCGTTATATTTATACTGTAATTGAGAAAGCAATGTAACCACAGTAGTTCAGGTAGGCAAGATATATTTAAATATCATGGAGATGAATTAAAATGCCAAGGTCAACCCCAAACAGGCTAAGCATTTATTGGCTTCTATCACAGACAACACAGACACAAACCAAATGTGAACACAAAAACATTCACAAAATTAATACATCCATAATCTCATTTTCAGCAAAATGTCCATAAATGCACAAAACTCTAGGAAGGAAGTAATGTCATAACTGAAGCATTCCCTTAATTCTGCTAAAAGTCACTTAAAAATCTTGTACCATAGTCCTATAGAGTGAATTTCAGGCTTTCGAATTTCAAAATTCTTACTCATAAAGTTCCACTTTGGCTAAGATTTCACGGAAGCTGGAACCTCAGCAAGATTCTGTGCAAGGATTTCAATCTAAAATGGACCTGGAGCATATGAAAAGTAGAATCTCACACATGTACCCTCAGAAGAAGAGAACTTAAAAACTGAGACAGTGATTTCCAGTAAATACCTTATTTACAGAAGACTGAGACTTATCTCCTGACCAATGAACATCTGCCAAGAATCTCTCCCCACCCTCAAGCCAATGAACTTACAGCTTGGACTCTAGCTGGACATGCCCCTCTTTGAACTTCTTGCCGGTAAATATAAACCACCCCAGCCTTCAATGGACTCACGTGTAGCTTGTTCCAGTGTTTTCCTGAATTACAATTCTTTTGCTCCTCTGGAATAAATTCAATTTCTCATAATTAGAACTTGCTTCGGTTTACCTCCTTATTTAGATAGGCAATCTGATACCCATTCTGTACGCATGGCTTACCACGGACTGGGCTGCTTCAGGCTGCACAACCCACGACCCTCCCTGAATCCACGTGGGCCATTGGTACTTACTTATCCTCCTAATAAAATCTCTCCCATGCTACAAAACTCAAGTCACAGCCAAGCTCTTCCATAAGCTATACTGTAAGTCCAGAAGCAGAGGATGCTGGATCCACAACAGACCCCAACCAACTGATGACCTTGGCCTTCTCCTCATTTGAAAATATTTTAGCTCCATATGGTATAAAAATGTAAGTACAGGTCCAACTTTATAAACGCATGTGTTAACAGAAGTGGCAAAAAGGTGGTGAACGGGAATCTGCTTTTTCAAACTCCGTGTTAGTGCAGTCCCCACCTCACTCTGACACCTATTCTCATCCTACAGTTGCAGGGAATGCACTGCACCAGACAACCGGTTACAAATCCAGCTGTGCCACCGCCTTATCACACTGTCCTCAGGTCCCAGATGTTCAGGACATGCCGCCCTAAAACATGCTGCTTTGGCGATTAGGTTATTTTGAGCTGTGGGCACTTGAAAAACAGCAAATGCAGTGAGAGGCTTTCTCTGAACTTTCTTTATCTGCCTAAAGATAGATCTTCCAAAAGGAGCTCAACTATCATAATTCCCCAGGAGTTTCATCAACCAGAAAGGATTGACTCTTATCTCAAGGGAAGGGAGTAGAAGTCAACACCACACCCAGACAAACCTTGTCATAAACTATGATATCTCCCATCTATTCTTCTAAGAGCCCCTTCACCTCTTCTAAAATCATTTACTCTTTTAAATTGCCTACATCCCCCCAACGCTTCCCCTATTAAGACAGTATGTGAATTCCCAAATATCACCATTTTGGGGGGTATTTACTTTTGTTTTTCTGTGATGTTGTCATGACCACAATATTAAAAATTAATAAATTTACATATCTTTTCTTCTGTCATTTTATTTCACAGACCCAGCCATCAAACCTAAAAGAGCAGAGGAAAAGTTTTTCTTCTCCCACGATTACAAATGAGGCATTTTTGGAATCCTCTGTATACTTTAACTCATGGATTTTGTTCAATATTCACCAACCCTAAACATAAGTGTTGACTACTGAATAGAACTGTATATAACCAGAATCCAGATCCTGTTAAAGCAAAAAGGAGGTGGGGTGGGAGGTCATTGACTAATTGGCTCCTGAGCATTTTGAACATAACTATAAACTAGGAAAACTTCCCAAATCAAGCTCAGGTCATCTTAAAATTATTCTACTTCTTATCCCTTTTGCAGAGTCAGCAGCTTTTTAAAAAACATCTGCTGGGACACCTGGGTGGCTCAGTCGGTTAAGCATCTGCCTTCGGCTCAGGTCATGATCCCAGGGTCCTGATTTCGAGTCCCCCATCGGGCTCCCTGCTCAGCAGACAGTCTGCTTCTTCCTCTGTCCCCTGCTCCTCTTGGTTGTGCTTTCTCTCTCTCTGACAGATTAATAAAATCTTTAAAAATAAAAAAATAAAATAAAAAACATCTGCTAAGTTGGTAAAGCATTGAAAACATACACACTTGGAAAAATTCAGAATCACAGAACTCAGGATGAACTAAACAAAGTAAACTCAAAATCTACTTGTCATAATAACAAATGACACAATCTTTTGGAATTGGCAAGCCCTGTCCCCTCTTCAAAAATTAAGAATTTCATTTATTCATTCTACAAATATTTATTAAGTCCCTAATTTTTGCAAAGCACTGAGAAAAGAGCGACAAGGGAATTCAAATGTTCTCAAAGAGCTCTTCATTCTGAATTCATTCAACCAATATATTGGATAGGCCTCCATGCTGCGTGCTGGGAATACTATGGCAGGTAAGACAAGTTCCTGATGGAACTTGGGATAAAAAGAAGGAAACAGATAATGAATTTATATCATTAAGCTGCCTGTGCACCAATTAACTATTAAAAAGAGCTCCAAAAAGGGTCCCGAGTACAGGAGCCTCAATACACAAATTAAGCAGGCTGTGCTGTCATTCATTTCTTTACAAGACTAGACATCTGACTGGTAGGACCATCTAAGCAAATTAATTTCTTCATGCCTGTTTGCTCATATATTAAAAATGGAGATAATAGCAATAATACCACCTCATAACACTGTTGAAAGGAATAGATAAATTAAAGGCTTAGAATTCTCCGTGGGACTTATTAAGGCTATAAAGCTTAGCCCTCATTATTGGTATATCAAAAAGAAAAAAATTAGCTTTTGGTGGGTGGCCAGGGAACTTAACTTTGATGTATTTTTTTTTCATAGAAAAATACTTCCTGACCTCCAAATCCTCCTCCTGGGACTTCTCATACTAAAAATGAATGATTTCTCCAGGTCCACTTTCCCCACTAGACTCCAGTGCCCATAGGCCCCGTGCCAGTCACTTCTGTTGCCCCAGGGCCCAGCCCAATCATTACTGAATGAACAACAAAATGAACACACCTAGACTAGAAGTTCAGGAATCCATGAATAGAATTTTCCCTTCAAAGGTGTATTCAGGAATCCACAAATACAATTTTCTCTTCAAAGGTGTAAACAGGAAGCCTGAGCCATAACAAGAACATGGAAACTCTGCTGCTGGAACTCTCGGATCTTATCTCAAAACTACAGGAAAAGAAAAGCAGGCTGAATTTGCAAGAGTTTCAGACAATTCCCAATTTCGAATCTTACTTTTTCCCCCTCTACCCCATAATGGTAACCTTTTCAAAAGTATACTCTGAAGCACATCTGGAAGAGGTTCCCATGTTCAGGACAACAGAGAACGATTAGAAACCAAATGTTTGTTGGTTTTAATTCAATAGCCCACATCTATTAAGGACAAATGCCCAATGGGCTGGCTTCTGCCACTTGGAGCAGCAAACGGTCATGGGTAGTGGTTGACAGTGGACATTACGCCGTTTCAGCAGCCATCACGGCAGCCTACAAAGCTGGGTGTTTTTTTAATATATATATATGTATATGTATGTATATATACACACACACATACACATACACCAACACAGCACACAAGTGAGGGGAGATGTTTGCTGATTGTCACTATTATTTGGAGGAGGGAAAGGCAGAGGACAAAGAAAGGAAACTGTTGGTCTCAGGCTCAGTGTGTGGCTCACTCTAAAACATAATCAGATTTTACTTACAATCCCAGGCCTGAGGTGAGGGTGGCCAATAGCACAGAAATGTTCAAAAACAAATCCTCCAACAGAAGCTCTCCATGAATTAATCCTTCCCCTCTCTGAATGTATTTCTACACTGCAGCTTTTCAGGTCTTCCAGAGAAGAGATTCTCTCTCAGGGGAATCTCTGAGAAGACATAGTTTTAGAGGCATTCCTTAATTTAAAAAAAAAAAAAAACTACACGTGTGCGTGAATTGTTTTTTTAACATCCAGAGGGCTGGGTGATTGGGGGTGAAGGGGCACACAGATTATAGGTCACTTGTTTTCTTTTTTAAAACTCTTCTGTACTTAAAAAAAAAAAAAAATTATGTCTAACAAATACTTTTCCAAGTGAAACGGACTACTTACTCCCCTTTTTTATGTTCCCCACACACTATCTTCTACGTATCACAGCACGAACAATGCTTAATTGTGCTTACTCAGTTGTTTTTCTCTTAAAATTAATCATAATCTACATTAAGATAGAGTGTTGTCTTATTTATCTTGGAATCTACAATACGCAGGGAGGCACCAGAACGGACCCACCAGAGAAGTAATGTTTTCAGACTCCAGAAGGACATCTGATATTTCCTCTACATGGCCTCTCCTCTGGAGCAAGGACTCCTTCAAACTTGAGTCACAGGTGGACGGACTTGCACACTGCACCATCTGTTTGCTCAGGGCAAAGCAAGCCCCTTCACTTGGAAGACTCAGCTCAAGGTCTTCTACGGGGTTCTGTCCACGTAATACAGGAATACTTCATCGGACTCGATTGATCCAAGACTGGCAGTCTCAGGCAAACCTAAAATAACCAAAACCCAAGGATCTGGCTCACCAACACTGCCACAAGTTGATCTCAATTCCAGTAAATAATCTTCCCAGCAGGCAGCATTTAGGCATACTTCATAAAAAATAATCTTACATGTTTTCTTCTTTTGAGGTAGAAAAAAGTGAGCGCGGGCGCCTGGGTGGCTCAGTTGGTT